ACCACCACCACCACCACCACCCCACCACCACAACCACCACCACCAGCACCAGCACCAGTACCAACACCACCACCACCAGCACCACCACCACCCACCCACACCACCACCATCACCACCACACACCACCACCACCACCCACCCACCACCACACCACCACCACACCACCACCACCACCACCACACCACCACCACCACCACCACCACCACCACCACCCACCACCACCACCACCACCACCACCCACCACACACCACCCACCACCACCACACACACCAGCACCAGCACCAGTACCAACACCACCACCACCAGCACCAGCCACCACCACCACCACACACACACCACACCACCACCACCACACACACCCACCACCACCCACCACCACCACCACCACCACCACCACCACACCACCACCACCACCACCACCACCACCACCACCACCACCACCACCACCACCACCACCACCACCACCACCACCACCACCACCACCACCACCACCACCACCACCACCACCACCACCACGCACACACGCACGCACGCACGCACACGCGTCCGCGGATAGAGAAAATCAGCGCCATGGTAAGGGATGGGACGGAAGGGTAGGACGTCAGATATGACGCGAGCGCACCTAACTTGTCCTCCTCCCCTCCTCCTCCTCCTCCTCCTCCTCCTTCCCTCCTCCTCCTCCTCCTCCTCCTCCTCCTCCTCCGCCTCCTTCTCTTCCTCCTCCTCTTCCTCCTCCTCTTCCTCCCCCTTCCCTCTCCTCCTCCTCCTCCTTCTCCTCCTCTCCTCCTCCTTCCCTTCCCTCCTCTCCTCCTTCTCCTTCTCCTCCTCTCTCCTCCTCCTCTTCCTCCTCCTCCTCCTCCCTCTCCTCCTCCGCCTCCTCCGCCTCCTCCTCCTCCCCCCCTCCTCCTCCTCCTCCTCCCCTCCTCCTCCTCCCTCCTCCTCCTCCTCCTCCCCTCCTCCTCCTCCTCCTCCTCCTCCTCCTCCTCCTCCTCCTCCTCCTCCTCCTCCCTCCCCAGGGTCTTCCCGCAGGCTGGCCAGGCGCCAGGCCCCCGACCCTGGGCCGATGTCGGCGGGCCGCCGCGCCCCGCGGGGCGGCGGGCGGCGGCGAGCGGCGTTGGCGGCTGGCGCCGCCGCGGCCGCTGCCGCGTCCGCGGCGCTGGCGCTTGGCGGCGCGTGGCCCCGCGCGGCGCTGGGCAGGCTCCTCCTCTCTTTTTCGTCCTGCTCCTCCTTCTCCTTCTCCTCCTCCTCCTCCTCCTTCCCTCCTCCTCCTCGTCCTCCTCCTCCTCCTCCTCCTTCCCTCCTCCTCCTCCTCCTTCCTCCTCCTCCTCCTCCTCCTCCTCTTCCTCCTCCTCCTCCTCTCTGGACGCCCGAGATGGGTGGCTAACATCGACTGCTCAATCCGTGGCTGCTAAAATCGACCTCCGGGAAGTTGTCTTCGTCCTTCCGGGAAGACGCCCGTTGACTGTTTCGCGTGCCGCGCCCCATTCCAGGAAGTTGTTTTTTCCTTCCGGGAGGGCCGGTTTAGCAGCCACGGTTTTAGCAGCCCTCGCCCAGCTTTCGAAAGTACCATCAGTGGGCAGCCAACCCGAAATTCCGATGCTCTGGACGCCCGAAATGGGTACGGAACGAATGGGTACAATGCCCAACAGCAGTTCCTGTTCATTCTTGAGCAGGACTCGCCGTCAGCGCCGCCGCGGCCTGTGTAGACAGAGGGCCGCCTTCCCAGCAGCGGCCGCTGTCGGTTTGGGACAACCTTTGTTGTTGGGCATTGCACCCCTTTTTTCCGTACCCATTTCGGGCGTCCAAGATTTCGGCGGCGTGATCCGATCCTTACTCTCGTATGTTAACGATTCAGGCAACTCGATAGGCGGCGGGGGTCAAGGTCAGGAGTTTGTGGAACACGTGGCGGATTCCGAATCCCACCCCGCCTCCCATCCATCCTGGAGAATCAAAGGTTGATGGGGGAAGGGTTCGGGTGTCGCCACCTGCACCAGATGGGGTCCGAGAGAGTGGGGTCGAAGGACTGCGCCGCATCGCCGATGCAGCATCGCCGATGCAGCGCCGATGTGGCTCGATACGCAACCCAATTTTGTCGACGCCGACGTCGCCAATGCATCGCCGAAGTCGCCGAAGTCGCCGATGCATCGCCGATGCATCGAGGATGCGTCGACGATGCTGCGCGGCCCTCTGACGTCAGCTACTCCGACCCAGTCTGGGAGGTCTGTGCCGTGGGCCCCGGCGTCGCAGAGCCTCCGCGGCGGTCGTCGCGGGCCGGAAAGCATAGCCGTACGGCGGGTTCGTGTCGTGTCTGGGCGGCTGCGACCCCGCCGCGGGGGTTCAAGGCTGAAGGCCGCCAGTGTCGGGCCGGACGAAAGGGGGGGATTGGGAAAGGGGAGGTTACGAGATCTGCTGCATGCAGCTGGTTTCGGCCCCACCGAGGGGCCCATTCCTCGATACATCGCCGCCTCCGGCGCCGGGAGGCGCCGGGAAAATCAGCTACGTGGGCTGATTCTCAAAGCCCCCCTTTGCTATCCCCCCCTTTCGCCCGACCCGACAGTGGCCCAGACTCTGCCCATGTGGTACGACCTGGCGGTCGAAATGCCACCGATCCTTTCAGGTTGCAGAAGGATCCACGCGGTGTCAGGAACCCAAACAGGGGTCGTCACGAGGCGAGCCTGCTGTGCCCACGGCCTCGTGGGCTGGGCTACGTATCCGCGGGACCGCGTCGTGGAATCCAGAGCACGAGGGCGTGGACATGGATATGTTTGCCGCTCCTGAGATCGGGGGGGATCTATGCTCCCATGTCTCCGGCGTTGCGTCGTCTTTCCTGGACTTCGGTCACCCGGGCCCTCAGAAGTTGGTCCAGGGCGAAATGCGAAACCCGCGGGAGGGGTCGGGACCGCCTTCTCGTCGGGCGTCTGGGCTTCGGGCCCTCTCTGGCGGCCTCCCAGGAGCATCGGGAGGCCTCCAGGGTTAAGTCGGGCCTGTCCCCGGGGACGTGTTTTTTTTTTTTTTTTTTTTTTTTTTTTTGGTTTTTTTTTTTTTTTTTTTTTTTTTTTTTTTTTTTTTTTTTTTTTTTTTTTTTTTTTTTTTTTTTTTTTTTTTTGTATTTTTGGGGTATTTTTTATTTTTCGTCGAAAATCCCCCTGTAGGGGGACACGCCCGACGTAACTCCAGGGCCAGACACACAGAGCTCTGTCTCTGGCGGCCCAGGGACTCACGGGCCGATCTGGCTGTGGAAGTGCCGCGAAGATGCGGAGCCGAGGGATCGAGCCGTGCTCTTGTTCGCCGCCGACGCCGCGTGCTTTTTGACGACGCCGGGCCTCGGAGTGGGGGAGGCGAGGACGCCCCAGCCAAATCGAGAAGGGTGGGGCGACCTGGGTCTGGCCAAGGAAGCGCAAACACGGATTCGGGCGCGTGGATTAGCGCCGGGGTGCGAGCCCGGCGGCACCGGCCTCCCGTTCCGTACCTTCCTTGATCTGCGGATCGGGCGGCCAACCCCCAGACCCAAGCATCCGCAGCCCATGTCAGCGTGTTCCCGAGTCTGGCCACGGACCTCCCAGGAGGTGGAGGAGGAGGAGGAGCAGGAGGTGGAGGAGGAGGAGGAGGTGGAGTAGCAGAAAGAAGGGGAGGAGGATGATAAGGATGATGATGATGATGATGATGATGATGATGATGATGATGATGATGATGATGATGATGATGATGATGATGATGATGATGATGATGATGAGGAAAAGGACCATTGTAAACCCAAGACGCATCAACGATGTCGCAATAAAGCCTCCCTCCAAGTTCCCTCTAGGGCTCTAGGGCCCTACTGGAAGGTTCTCATTGGAGGACAAACGTGCCAGAACACCATTCCAAGGACTTTACCACCATAAATGATCGTGTTTCGTTTTGTCAATCTTCAATCTTTCCAGAGCACCGTTCCTGATGCTTCGGCCATGCAGATTCCTGAACTTATTGAACATTTAAGACGAATGTGCGCGGCACTAAGGCGAGAGCCACATTCTGAAAGAGAGCCGTCCCCTATCCTCCGCGAAACGGCTACAGAGTTTAGAACGAGTGTGCGCGACGCCTAGGCGAGAACAACATTTTGGACACGGCCCGCCCTCCAGCCTTGAAACTGCTGTACAGTGAAGACGACTGTGCACGGCGCGAGGGCGAGAGGCACATGTTGGAAGCGGCCTGCCCTCCATCCGTGAAGTTGCTTTCAATATCAAGCTTCAGGATCATACATGTCAGGAGGGGAAAAACACACACAGACACAATCAATCGTCGATCCCCAGGAAAACATGAGAAAATATGGGCAGTGGGGGGAAGACAAAAACCCAGAAACTACGGGAAAATATGGGGAATGTTTTTATTTGTGTGTATTGATTTGTGTGTCCTGGGGCCCCTTCAAAGTTGCTTTCAATATCAAGCTTCAGGATCATGCATGGTCAGGAAGTCGCAGGCCAGACGCCCAGCCCGCCCTACCGACACGTCTGGGGGTGCGGCAGGGGCGAGCTGTTTGCAGGGAAGAAGGGGTTGGGGCATCCGTGTCGCCGCGTGCACTTCGACGCTGCGCACATGTTCCGTCCGACTGGGATTGTCGTAACTCGCATGTCGTGGAGCTGTTTCGCTGACTAGTGCACCTCGTAGCATGCATGAGCAACTCGATCTGGGGCGCGACGCTGCAAATAAGAATCTGTTTGATAATAATATCAATAATCATAATACTATCAATAATAAAGCGAGTAACGTTACTAGTGGTATTACTAATACCAATAAAAATGATAACCATACTACGAATCATACTAGTAGTAATAATATTACGAACAATGCTAATCATACTAGTAGTAATACTCATTATTGTACCACTGATAATACTACTAATCAGGATACTATTATTATTAATGTTAACAATCAGGATAATAATAATAACAATAAGAAGAAAACAACTAAGAAGGATGGCGCACCTTCCTGCGATCTGGCCGGGGCCTCCCCCCCTCCCT